ATACTGAACTACAAATGCAAAAGAAAAGAGGCAGTTCGTCTTTGTAATTATCTGCAAAGAGAAAGGATAGTTTAATAAAATTATATACTTATACAAATGTATGCAACATAAGAGATTTAAACATAACATCACCAATGTTTGTAAGTCTTTCCTTCATTGTGAAGTCTTTCCTCTGACTGAAAGTTTTCAAATGTCCTGTTTTCTGGAATATAAAATCTTTACCTGTATATTCAAACACTTCTGCCTTGCATCATGGAGATCATGAGTTGATATACATACACCAAGCAGTTCCAGACTGCCTGGTGTATTGCAGTCTGGGACTTTTAAGCCCTTTTTGTTACCTTGCAATCAAGATTAATCTTCAAATAATTTGTGAATTTACAAATTTCAAAAAATACATGTGGCCAGACGCCAATAGATGTGTTAGCCTCAAATACAGATATGTTCAGAACAAACAAGATTCAGTGAAGTGTATGATGTCAACCAGCAGCAGGCTGATGCATAACAAACATGGCTGAACCACAGATAGCTTCAAATGTTGGCTTTCCACTCACTTTCTTATTTAAAGCCACATCCATGAAACAAACAAGGAGTAATTGGTGTGTGTGTACTTGACTTAGCATATGTACTGTATGATTGGGGTAATGGGCCCTATATAAATTAAATGAATTCAGCTGAAAAAGTTGAGTTGAACCAAGTAAGAGAAGCAAAAAACTTCTTCTAACATGAGATAAAAGATTAACTCTTTAGTGGTTCTCCAGGCTGTGAGATTTCCTCACACTTAGATTACAGTGTGCCCATACTGGGTTGTTTAATTTAAGTCATATTTATAAAAGTAATAAATCTTCCTTGTCAATGTCGCAGGGACTAAGAAAACAGTTTTAGTAGCTCTTCATGACAAAGTGCAGCAGTCTGCCTGTAAAATGTGATAAAAGGTAATATGTGTAGAGTGCGCTCTCGACTGTAGGCTATGGGGGTTATGGTCCAAATTACCCGCTAGAGGTTCTTCATTTCTTCAGCTAGAATAAAGCTGAATTTACACTGTACAGCAATATGTCAGGATGCTCTGGATGGTGGATTGGTAGAAGCCTGCTAAGGAAGTGCAATCGTTGCTGTGCCTCCCCTGCTGTTTCGGTATATTTATTTGATTTTCTAAGTTAAGCACAAATTTTGACTCTAAGAAACTAAAGAAAGATAACTTTTTAGACTAAGAAAACTTTTACACAAAGTGTATACAAAACAAAATTTCATTTAGTACAGCTTTTCAGACAGTAAATTAACATTTCCATTTCATAAAGTGCAGGAATGATCAAATGTAAAGAGTGGGAGAAAAATAATGGTGCAAAGAAAACACATTGATTTGGAATTTCAGAGCATTAACTGTGGATAAATCCTTGGATTGGGCCTGTGTTCACAAGGACAGTGGAGGATATTTTCTGTCCAATCCTAACATTCTGGAGTGTGTTTCTAAGAAGGTGCCGTTCATATCATATTGATGGCCAAAGGTGGATAACCCAGATTCAGAAAGTAAAAAGCTTGTATAGACATTACTTTTAACTATTTGCATTTCCAGCTCCACATCTGAGACATGGGACTAAACACCTGGTTAAATGAACAGAGTGAAGGTAAACAAGCCAAGGATTTTACTGTCTGGACCTGGATTATCTACCTCTGTTAATGGCTAGACTAACAACAGGGCAAGTTAGCTTGTTGAGCTGACAAAGCACCGTCATCATCTTGCAGATATCTTCCACTTAAATCTGAACCCAACCTGACCCGTCTATGCTTAACCCACATTCTGACCCGTTAACACACCAAGATAGGTAGCACCCTATTAGTTTGATCACCTTTTTCTTTTGTTTTCCCCTTTCTTTTTTTATATATTTTTTGTGACAGTTTTGTAGATTTTTCATCATTGCATTAGTTTTTATGCTGATGTGTTTTAATAGTTTAAGTGTAGACTAAAACACTGATGTATTTTAAGTGTTGTAAAGTCATGCACAATTTTATTTCAGTAAGGGTTTCAAAACTGAAATGAAATTATTATACTTTCATGTGTAATCTGATTCTCTTCTTTGTATTTACAATCTAGCTTCACTAATTTCAACATCAAGACATATTATGCATTTAAAAGGTTCTGTAGTAAACAGTTGTGATGAATCAGCAATGTCCATTTAATTTTTTTTGTTAAATTTAAGAATGTGAGTTTATGAAAATCATGTCTTGTATTTTGGTTTTTCGTTATCCACTTCTTCCTGATTTTACGGATAGCCTTTATAATGATTCAGATTAAATTGCACTGAGTAAAAACAACAGCAATGGCTTCCAGTTGAGATTAGACTACTGATCTGACATATGAATAACAAGCTTAATTCCCAAAAAAGAAAAAGCTTATAAGCATCAAAGCCCAAATTTAATTTAAAAAGAATTCAATCCTTTCCAAACTTCTCTGTCTATTTTATTTGTCTTTTGTTGTTTCCTCAAATTCAGATATGTGGCAGCATTTTCCTTTTAATTTTCATAATTGTACCACCACATTTTCTCTGACCCAGTTTAAAAATAGTGTCCAAGGTTATTACAGAAACTGATCTCCAAACACAAGCCTAATCTCATTAGTGTCCCTAGTGTAACTTTCAGCCTTTTATTGTATTTTTTAAGTATAAAAACACAAGTTTATATTTATCTATATTGCTACCAGATATAAACACAGGTCTTAGCCCCACATATCTCACTAACAAAATCCCCGGTTAGGTGGATAGGTGTTTATCCATACCTGGCGGTAAGTGAAGCGGCATCAGTACAGATCCGCCTTACTATTTTAGTGTTAATCAGTTTCCTCTTTCCTCACGCAGTGCTCCTAACGCTGACGTGTCTGCATATGGGCCAAACACCTTAAAACCATGACACAACATGTTCAATAAATATCAGAGGCAATAACACCATACACTCACCGGCCACTTTATTAGGTACCCCATGCTAGTAACGGGTTGGACCCCCTTTTGCCTTCAGAACTGCCTCAATTCTTGGTGGCATAGATTCAACAAGGTGCTGGAAGCATTCCTCAGGGAGTTTGGTCCATATTGACATGATGGCATCACACAGTTGCCGCAGATTTGTCGGCTGCACATCCATGATGCGAATCTCCCGTTCCACCACATCCCAAAGATGCTCTATTGGATTGAGATCTGGTGACTGTGGAGGCCATTTGAGTACAGTGAACTCATTGTCATGTTCAAGAAACCAGTCTGAGATGATTCCAGCTTTATGACATGGCGCATTATCCTGCTGAAAGTAGCCATCAGAAGTTGGGTACATTGTGGTTATAAAGGGATGGACATGGTCAGCAACAATACTCAGGTAGGCTGTGGCGTTGCAACGATGCTCAATTGGTACCAAGGGGCCCAAAGAGTGCCAAGAAAATATTCCCCACACCATGACACCACCACCACCAGCCTGAACCGTTGATACAAGGCAGGATGGATCCATGCTTTCATGTTGTAGACGCCAAATTCTGACCCTACCATCCGAATGTCGCAGCAGAAATCGAGACTCATCAGACCAGGCAACGTTTTTCCAATCTTCTATTGTCCAATTTCCATGAGCTTGTGCAAATTGTAGCCTCAGTTTCCTGTTCTTAGCTGAAAGGAGTGGCACCCGGTGTGGTCTTCTGCTGCTGTAGCCCATCTGCCTCAAAGTTCCACGTACTGTGCGTTCAGAGATGCTCTTCTGCCCACCTTGGTTGTAACGGGTGGTTATTTGAGTCACTGTTGCCCTTCTATCAGCTCCAACCAGTCTGGCCATTCTCCTCTGACCTCTGGCATCAACAAGGCATTTCCGCCCACAGAACTGCCGCTCACTGGATGTTTTTTCTTTTTCGGACCATTCTCTGTAAACCCTAGAGATGGTTGTGCGTGAAAATCCCAGTAGATCAGCAGTTTCTGAAATACTCAGACCAGCCCTTCTGGCACCAACAATCATGCCACGTTCAAAGTCACTCAAATCACCTTTCTTCCCCATACTGATGCTCGCTTTGAACCGCAGGAGATTGTCTTGACCGTGTCTACATGCCTAAATGCACTGAGTTGCCGCCATGTGATTGGCTGCTTAGAAATTTAGTGTTAACGAGCAGTTGGACAGGTGTACCTAATAAAGTGGCCGGTGAGTGTATATTTCTGCGGATGTTTATGAAATTACATTGTTTATAAGTATTTGTAAATCCTAAATATATGCAAACATTCCACCAGTATCTTAAATAATGTCCCTTAGACAAATCACTGCTATAAAAAAGGAAAAAAAAACACATCAGTATTACATTTTTTTATTTATTCAACCAAAATGACAATAGAGATAACAAATCAGTGTCTAAATTCTCATTATGGTTCAATAAATGAAAATACTGTTGCACTTTTGAGGGTTGTTTCATTTTTATGTTTAAATTTTTTTGGCAGCCTGAATATACACTTACCTATAGAGTTGCACAATGACACGCAGCTATCAATTTCAATTTCAATTTTACGTGGAAGTTTGACCCCTCCTATTGACATAATTGATCCAGTTTAAATATACAGGTTTTGACTTGAGATTTGCTGTTGCATTTTTTACAAGATGACGATAAAATACTGAGCTATCTGACCATCATGACAGGAATATGTGTTTGAAAGAGTCAACGTACTGTAAGGCCTTTAAACCTAGTTATTAAGTAACTACTGTAAAACATGTTAATGGTTGCATCATGATGGGGTTGTTTTACTACCAGAGAAACACGGTTATGCACATCAATTAACAAAATCCAAATACAACTGAATGATGTATGTGACATAATGTGACAAAATGAAAAAATATTTAAGGCTGATGTGTATTTTTAAGTAAACATTTCTCAGTAGAAGAATCTTTTTATTTTATTTGTTTTTTGTTGTTGCTACACTTTGCTTTGCTATAAACAGCAGTCAGACTTAATCTTAAAGGAATATTAATTATCCTCTTTTTTCACATTTCATCAGGACCTATTACATACGAACCTTCCTGTGCCGTGTCATGGTGTGGATGAAGTTAAGGGTGGAAATGGATTCCCGGTGGATGCGACTAAAGAGAATGCCTCGCTCATTCTGGTTCATCCTGCTTTTTGGAGTTGGAGGTGCGCTTCTCTTCCTTCACCTGGAGGACCTGTCAGAGATGCTTCTGTCACAAGCCCCTGGTTAGTCTCTGCTTTTTTTTGTTTTAGGTAATCACTCTTTATTGTGGCATCCTAACAAACATACTGTGCCCATCTTACCTGGATATGATTTCCTTGTAAGATCGACAGAAACCAGATGTTAATTTCTCTCTACTTATAAAGATTGGCCTTAGAATTGGGTTTAAAATTATATACAATAATGTGGACAACTAGACACACACATAAAGGAGGCAAATGGGATTCTGATGTAGTTGCTCTTACAGTCCCTTATCATCATCCCTCTTTAGCCCACCCTACAGCCTGCTAGTTCCCAAAATGCCTATCTTCTTTGTTGTACCTAAAACAAGAATAATGGAAAAACAATGTTAGCAGTATTTTGGGGTTTGATGTCCAAAAGCAAATATATAATATATTTGGGGAGTTTTGTGATGGGAGGCTTCAAAGTGAATAGGTTTTTCCATGTCCCCATCCTTCCCCACACTCAGACAATATAACACATTCAGATTATGTGTTTTTTTTTTCTTAAAGGCTGCATAAGGCTGCAATTTAGGTAACATTCTGGTGAAATACAGCTAAGAGAAAAAATAAACGGAAAAGTTAATTTGTAGCAAGAGAAGGGGACTGCTAATGGAGTGTTTGTCATTTTTACAGTTGTTTTAAATGGGTCATACAATGATTAAAAGTAAAGAAGTCACATCTATATGTATGTATATATTTTTTGACTTACAGCTTAAAATTGTCACATTCAGTACAATTAGAAACTATTTCAAACATGTTAATATAAGACCCCTTCTTTGGTTTTTGGACAGCCTCTGCTTAAATTATGCATGGTACTTCTTTAGATTAAATATTTCATTAATTTCATCAATTAGTCTTTATCAGTTATTTATTTTTCATTTTTATTATGCATTGATAAAAGAGCTTCAGACAAAACTGACCCCTTATCTATTAGGGGAGCTTTATTGTAAAGTTTTACCCTTTGCAGGGTGTCAGAATAGCCTCCACAGCAGCTGGTTTGATATGAACTCCACCCTCATAGATCTTTGATGGAGAATACTTTAAAGGTTCACTGTTGGATTGAAGTCAGGGAAGGTCGGTATTCACACCATGAGTTTGTCTCCTTCAATGCTTGGGCTCCCTAAACTCAGCCCCTGAGGGCTGCTGTCCTGCAGGTTTAAGAGGTTTCCCTGCTTCAGCACAGCTGATGTCCACTGATAGTTTATCCTCAGCCTTTTACTGAACTGAAATCATCAGAATAACACAAAAACATGTCCACAAATTCAAAGAAAATTTTCCTCACAGCCTAGACCGCTCTCAGTCAAGATTTATTGTTGAAATGTTTCAGTTGGTTTGACCTTCATCAGACATGTCAGACATCTTTACCCTGCATGTACATCCCAGGTGACTAAAACTGACCAATCCAGGAACTAGAAAGCTCAAACTTTAATGAGTTTCACCTGTCAGGGGGAGGTAACATGCAACAAAAACAGGTACATAACAGAGTTTTACATGATATGAAAAACATTTTTTTCTGTTTATTTCTTTAAAAACAGAACACTATAATCCCCTTCATGAAAAAAGTTACAAACTTCATAAATAGGGGCAGCCATCCCAATACTCACAATAAATAATCAACTTTTTTTTTTTACATAAAAATGTAATTCTTAAAAAAAATAATATAATAGTTATAATAATAATGTATAACTATAATAATGTATTTGAATTTGCATGATAATTTTGAACCAATTTGAAGCAGTTTGAAAGAAGAAGCTTCAAACAATTCCAAAACTGAATCCAAGTCAATAAAAAATAAATAAATAAACATTAAAAACTGTAATTCATATAAATGTTTCTTAAAGATATATATAGAGAATATAGTAGGTACACTTTTACACATTTAAAACTACAGACATTCTCCAAACCTGCTAACACGGAACAAACACAAATATGTCTATATTTCTATACATCTACATCTGCTGCAGATGGATGCATATGCATGCTAGTTAACTATTCTTTACAAACCAAATAAAGCTTTATTAGTAAATTAGAATTCATTCCATTGGTAGATTAAGAGTTTAAATAATTTTGATTTGACTTAAACATTGCCTTTGGTTTTTGACATTAAATAGACTGAGAAAAAGTAGCAACATTTTTCTATATTTTTCACGATGAGCTACTGCTAGTCTTAAAAAAATCAGAATGCTTAATTCCCATAACACTAGTCTTAAATTATGCCTAATTTAGGCAGATTAAAAACCTTATAAAATGTGTTCTATAATCGATCGTGAAGCAGAAAACTGTCCCACATGAAATCTGTCTCTTTCTTTTTAAAGTAATTTTCCAGATCCAGCTTTGAAATGGGTCAAACCTTTGTCCTAAACCCGAGACATTGTCTGACCCTGCTTTACTGCCAGCATTAAAGAGATTGGGGGTTTAAGCAGCCATGATGGATGTGTAAAACTAAGCAGCTTCACGTCTCAGAAACAAGAGATCAGCAATGAGCTTATGCACTTCTTTGGCTTTGTACAACACTCTCAACTAAATTAGAAAAGCATCATTTCTGTGCTGCTTCTCTCATGCCTTCTTTAGGCCTAAGCCATTTATGAAATACAATCCCTTTTACCTAAAATTACACAGGAATTAAATGAAGAGTGTGCAGGCTTTACAGCGCATGGTGCAAAGAAAAATCTTACAAATACATCAAACAGTTTGTGTGGAGATAATATTCTCACCAGCATAGAACCAGCAAACCACTGAATATCTGCTATATCATGTGTCAAGAGGCCTGTGAATCATTACAATGAGGAGCAGTGTCACTTCACAGCAACAAGAGCCACTTAGCCAGAGTGCAATCTCTCCAATACTTTATTATTCATCCATTCAGCACATGCTTTTAGGCCCAATTCAGCCCCCTGCAACCCCCCAACAAAACAAACAAAACATTAAGGTGGAAAAGACCAAAGAAACACAGAAGTGGTGTCCGTAAAGACAAATTAACATCATGTACAAAACTAAAAGAATCGAAATTACGTTAAATAGTAAACAAAGGTCCCCAAAATTAGATGGTAGGTTTTTGTTGTTTTAAAACTGCAAACTTAAACTAATTAATAATATTATTCCAACCTAAATGTAAGATATCAAATAAAGAAAAAAAAAAAACAGAGATTACAAATCCAGGATCTTAAAACAGTCACTAATTGACTATAAAATGATGCTGATACTGGATTTGCATCCATTTACATTCCTGGATAAGTTCCCAGTTTAAAGAAGCTTGAAACAATTTGAAACTTCAATCGAACTTGTTTTATAAAAACAATAAAAAATGTATTTTTGTTTCATCAAAGAGTTGCTTTGAATATTGCAGAAAGGTTCTCCTGTAGCCATCAGTGTTACAGCTTATCTAAAGATGCATCTGACTCAAGACACTCAAGACACAGAGGATGCTCCCTGTCCACAATGATCTTCATCTTATAAAGAACCCCTCTTATCATAATCACCTTGAGAGGTTCCAGAATATTCCTCAGAACAAAGACTGTACTCCTTATAAGCCTGTGGAGCCTTTTTAAGTTTCTGCCTCTAATGCTGCTTCATAAACAGTATATAAATAGAGCTTTGGTTGAATTAATGGAAAGTTTGTAATATTTTTGGTTTTAAGTGTTGTAGTGACCTCTATGTAGGTCAGAAACACTCAAAACATAGCTTGATGGACAACCAAGAGGCTCTCCAAAAAAATAATAAATAGAGAAAATAATTTAATTTTTATAAGGGTTTTCCACCCTAAGATGGACCAAATTGGGAAACTTTGGGCTCTTGCCCGTTAACTAATAAGTGACACACATCAGTTTTGGGCAGTAAAATGGAAAACCTGATGAAAACCATGAAAAAACTCAAGGAAGTTTCCGAAAAAATATCAGATGATAATCACAAACTGAACAATATAATCATGACGTAATGTGCAGCGTCCTGTTTCAAGTTGAAGTGGCATTCATACAGTATCTGAATGTATGGTAAGGGCATCTAGTTAAGCTTCAAAGAACACAAAGGTTTTCCTCCATCTCTTTTAAATGGGAAATGATTTAAAATGCAAGGTAAAGTTGATTGAATAGAGACAGAAAACAATAATCTTTATTTTTAAAAGCCGTTGTGCATTCCAAATACATTTTTGTCTCAATTTAATCCATCTCCAACAGAGCAGTAAGCAGCTTACAGCTGAGGAGCAATCTGAGGCTCAGGGGTCCTGCTTGGGCACCCACAGAGGCATTCTGTGGGGTTGGAAACTGCTACTCACAGGCTTTTCACAATAAAAGTCCTCTGCTCTGACCACTAGTTTAACATTAATTTAACCATCAATAAAATACAAATGAGTTATTATTTTTTTAAGCTCTACTGTAAGTTTAATCAAATCATATTTTAGATGCAATTTTTTCCCCCCTAATTTGACAAATAGCTACTTGACAAAGTTTTATTTCTAAAATAGGATTTGCAGTATAAGCATATCCTTTTATTTGTTTTGCTTCATCACTACTTTAATATTAAAGTAAGAGTCTCACTTTCCTAAATCCTGCATGAGAGCCTTTGTTCTGTGTCAAGAACACATTCATAGCGCTGCCATCTCAGACCCACTCTCTAAAGCACAATGAGCAAGCAGCATCTTGCCTTGAGCGGTGGTGCTTCACCCTTGCAGAGGCTCATATCTAATAGAGCTGAGTTCTAATACATTGGGTGTCAGCTTTTATCTGCCTTGCACTTTTTCTCTACCTCTTTATTTAGTTTGCAGTGTTTCTGAGAGTCTTGTATCATCTGCTTTAGATGGCCTGTATTATTGTAGTTGGAGAAATTGCACTTTAAAAGCCAAGCCCTGATATCTGCTCAGTAATTGTTTGAGGACAATTGCAGGGACAACAGCAACTATCTCACATAGCAATTCAGATAAATTTGCACCTATGAGTTTTCTTTCTTACTTTTTCTTTGCAAATAGCTTTAGGAATGATGTCCAACTGCTTTAGGTAGTAGAAGCTCTG